CGATTCGTTCAAATGGCTGATTCATTCAGAAACGAGGCAAGTGATTCTTTATGAATGCATCACTGAATCATTGACTCACTCGATTAGTTCAAAAACGTGGATTCATTCAGTAGCGAATCACGGCTGTGTTGCTCGGAGACACACAACAGTTCTGCTGTGGCTTTGATTGGAACGATTTTCGTTTGTGAAATTGAGCAAAAACAGTAGATTTTGTGTCTAAAATGTAAGTCACTTAATTTTAACTTCTTGTTAATTGAACTACTATTGTATAAAATCAGTGTCACATTGCAGTCGTGTTGATATTGATATTCGGGGAAACATCTTGGTCGTGTAATGTTGCTTACCTAAATCATATTTCATAAATATTTTTTTTTTTCTACGGCAGTAGGCATCCTTTAGGTGCCTACGTCACAGTGCTAGCTGGAGGCGAAACAAAGAGAAAACTGGAGGCGGCCGCTTCAAACCAGCACAGATTCGACTATATAAGGAGCTTAAAATATCATCTTGTTGTGATGTTGGGTGCCAGAATTGACGGAGTACAGGCTCCAATTTGAAATTTTATCGCATATCTGCTGCCATTGCCAGACAAAAAACCCACGACAGCTGTGGTTAAAAACGCAATAAAACGAGCGAACCGGACAGAAACTATCGCCAAAAATGCTTGCATTTGCAGCGCACACTTCTTATCAGAAAAGGTTAAATAAAGTATTGTCTTTTGTTGTTATGGATTATGGTTTGTGTTATGCCTCTAAAGATTTCTTATGCATCTCACAACATGCAAGAGTAGCCTATGTCGTGTATGAAAGTCTGTGCATGTGTGTAAAACAGCAAACTGACGGTTTATATGCTTAATCACCTGTAATTGTATGTACATTGTGATTGATTGTGGCTGGAATTTTTAAGAACTTGGTAAGAAAGTTAATCAAATACAGAAAGTTGAAAATTTGCAGTTTGTGGGTTTTTTATTTCTAGAAAATATTCACATCTTTAAATGTACTGTATGTAAAGTAATGTAGCAGTACTGTAATGTCACTGTAAACTCACATCATTTACAGGAGGTATACTTTTGTAACGCGTGTTGTTCCTATATATGAGCGTCACAGTGCTGCTGCATCATATTGAGGAAACGCTTCAGTCACTAAATTCGTGAGCTCAGCAGCATAGACTTCAAGAGGTTCTTGTGGTTTTCGGGGACGAGCATTCAAAAATGTCTGAAATGTGGCCAAAAATGTTGTACGGCCAAAAACAGTGGTCAAACTGGCTTTAGTTAACTCGTAATCAGCTTTCACTTCAGATGGGAGAGACTGCCAATATGCAAATGCCGGACCAGTAAGCTTCACAGGGAGAAGTTTGGCTTTATCCGGGGATACAGCTGAGACATTAAGTGCAACTTCGAATCTCTGTATCCATGCACTAAAAGGCTCTGTACCGTCTCCAGAAAAAGGATGAGGAAGGTCAATTTTAAATGGCAGATGTGGGTTTGCTGCATCTGCAACATGTCTGTCTCTCTGTACTGCAGCTGCTTCATGCTCGTCGTCCGCCATTTTGTGTGAGAGAGAACGCACGTAATCCGAACTTGCAAAAAGAGCACGTGAAAAACAATATCAACGTCTCTGCAGGTTAAAGTGGCGATATCCACCTCATTCAATACAATAAAAGCACAAGTGTCCCAACAAAAACAAGCCAACCAGCGCTGCCATCAGTGTAACGTAGAGATAAACATCATGAATCAGCCACATCCGATTACACAGAGCGTGTCATCTCTCCCTCTACGCTCTCACAACTGTCTAGATCATTCTCTCCCGCGATCCTAATCACGGGTCTCTGTTCTCGCGATATTACCTCTAGATCTTATTTAAAGTTATAGAACATTAATGTTAACCTTGAATTTAACTCCCTACACTTTAAAATAACTATTTGGCCATTACATACATATATCTTCAAATAATATATCCATCACGTTAAATGTTTAACTTTTTCTGTATTTTGGCCCAGTTCACTCTCGTGTAGCTGTAAAAATAGTAACCTGCTGACACTGAAATACATCTTCATGACTAGATAGACACAGGTGAGTTTCTCTTTACTATACTCGTTAGGTTCCTCTATCAGGGGTAAACGAGTCACTCAACCGGAGGTAATCCTGTCAGATCGTGAGTGTACGGGTCGGCTAGTCTGCTTTCGCCCGTTAAAGTTCACTTTTGTCAAATAACAATCGCTGTGGCAGTGAGTGACCGTACATATTCAGGTAAAATCGGGGTTTCTCCGGTCATTGTTAAAAACAAGCTAACAAAACTTCCTAGCTAGCGTTAGTGAAGCGGTCAGGGAATCCTGCTCCGGCCACAGAAAAACATCACAGTGTTTACTAACTGAAAAGGGGTCTATAACTTTCTCTGAGTTACTTTGTGTGTGCTGTTGCGCTAATTTGTTTTGATTTCTGCACGAGTCTCAACCTCTCTCACTCATCTGGCACAACATAAATACATTATCAGTCGCCATTTACACTGAATGCAATTAAAATTAGAATCATTCTCGCGAGAAAAGACATGTTTACATGCGATGTGAGAGTAAGTGTGATGTCAAAACGGACCGGCTCGGAATCGGCAGATAGAGGAAAATCGGCTAATTCCGGTCCCAGGCCGGTCGATCGGTGCATCTCTAGAAACCAGTGGCCTGTAGCACGAAGCCGGTTTCAGTTTTTACCCACAGGTAAGTTCACGTTAAGTTTGAGCAAACACTCTTGAGTTTTCAGGCTCAAGAAGGTGGGTTGGTTTTGAGCGGGTTTCGTCGCCATGGTAACTTACGCTACACGGCTACCCTGCTCCGGAGCAGGTTTTATTCCGGGTTAGAGATCGCAAACCAAAACTGGACCAGTGTTGCCAGATTGGATGGACAATTTCCAGCCCAAAAGCTCACAAAAAAATGCACAAAATAATGTGATGGAATATGTAAATCAAGTTTGACAAGGGCCATTTTTAACTCCTTAAAACAAAATAATGACGACAAAATAATATAAATATAACGTTAGATAAATTTCCCAGTAAATGGATCAAATAGCCTACATTAAAGAGAATTAGGCTACCGAACATGAATAAAATATGAATAAAATAATATATTAACCCATACCCTCGAAACAGCACATGCCTTTTCAATGTCAGCAGTCAGAATAATCCAATTTAAATGCAAAAAGTGCCCAATATAAGTGATAGGAAAAAGCAACGTATCTAACAGGTATTTCACACTCGTTCATGCACACATCATGACAGTCAAAACTGTGTCATTCATTGATACATACTGAATTATAATCCGACAATTAAAAAAAAATATATATATTTTTACCCGCACAATCAAATTCAAAACCGCCCAATCTGGCAACACTGAACTGGACCAATCAGCTGTGAGCAAAGTGACGTATATCTGATGCAATGAAGCCACTCCCCCGTATCTCTCACTCCAAATTAGTAGGCTTGTTTGAGATGAGCACTGTGACAGTGCGATCTCTGTGTGAGATAATGTGATTGTTGTCATATTTCTATAAAAATCTAAAATACATGTTTGTATTAAAGTAAAAATGGATGATAAATACGCCTTTCGTATTTAATTAAATAGCAAGCACTTTGAGTGTCTTGTTCATCATATTCATTTTTATATAAAGGCATCAGAACTGAAATTATATCATGTTTATTAGCAACACAGCATGTATGTGTGAATTACGCGATATCCGCCTTTGATCTCGTTGGTATCGGTTCATTTCGAAAGGTCAGAACTGTCCGTCTTGGCTGCTCTTATTTCACTCCTCCCCTCACTGCAGCCGCCTACTCTCGCCTACATTTCAGGCGAGGCCAGGCGCATCTCAAACAAGCCTAATCTTCAGCAGAAAAGTGAATTGCGCTGACTCTGGCGAGAAGTGCATCCAGCTGACGCTTTGCTGATGCTCTCCACACGCTCCCTGTGATTGGCTGTTTGCTGCACGTGTCACACGTTCAGGTGCACGCGCTCCAGAGTTAATCACAAACTCTGGTTCAAACTCTGAGTTGGGAGAGAAGGTTTATATTGAGCTTTGTGAGCCCAGTGAACCTGATCTTAACCAGGTTGGCTTTATCGGGTTTTGTCAACTCAAAACTTAGTCTGCAACTCTTGAGTTTGTTCATCTCGCTTCGTGCTACAGGCCACTGAGCTCTGAGAAATACTGAAAATATTACTATAAATTGTAGCAACACCTCCCTCTTTACCTTTTGGATGCCGCTGATTTTTATAACAGTAATCTAACCCTTAACAATACCAGTTCAGCATTATATTAACAGTGCTCTGACAAAGTGGCGGTGATTTTTCAGCCTGTGATGAATGTCAGAATGATCACAGGCGCTCTGTGTGATTGATAGTCGTTTAAATCGGCACTTTTCATTTTATTGATTATGCGTGCGACTGCATGCTGTCCAGTTAATTTTTACTGTCTGTCAGACGCTGCAGGTCAGGGCTTTGTGCATTTGCAGTCCAGCTCTGAGATGAATGTTTATGTCATGCAAATGTGAGTCTGACCTGCATCAAAACACCTTTACGGCTGCGCAGATGCAGTCTGAACCTCTGTCCACAAATACCCCGGTCTGATCAAACTGGAAAATGGTGCAAACTTGATCAAATATGTGACAAATTCAAATGATGCTGTAATTAGCTCTACACAAGACGATAGTGTGATTATTCAGCTCAGTTCAGTTCTGTGATGTTCTCGTGGTGGCTTCAGTAACGGTACAGTAAAAGCCGAGTGAGATGTGATGGGCTGAGTACAGGTTGTTTTGCAGTGTTTGTTTGATTGGTTCAGTTAGTGAACGTTTGTTGTGTTGACCTGTCTGGAAGAACAGTTGGGTACACTGAACCAGAAGAAGGATGGACTGACCAATCAGTGCCACATCAGACCCTTTCACAGATTTATCGTATCGTCTCCTCAACAGGTTTGACAACCGTTTTCAATCGTTTGCATGATGTGTTTGCGGTGTTTTCTCCAGGAGGCCAAGCAGCGAGAGCTTCTGGATGTGGGGACTCTGGAGGGGAGGCTGGAGAACCGGACACTCACAGTGGTCAGCGGTGCAGACATGGTCAACATCACCTGCCTGAACTTTACAGCCTTCAGCGAAGAGGTGGCCAAGGTAACGTCTGCTCTGACACTTAGAAACAGACACTGCGCTGAGAAGAGAAACACACTAGATATGAGATGATGTGCTTAATATTGCATACGAGCAGCAGAGCAGAAGCACCCCGGTGTCCTGACAGCTCACGGTCTCTAAGCACACAACTATCAGACCTTCAGAAGGCTCTCTTTCAGTGACACTCCCTAAAGGAATTTCACAAAATAATTGATCTTGTTCATTTATTTTGAAAGGTTGCATTTTGCTTTAGGAAACAATCATAACCATTAACCTAATTTTAGAATAAGTCATCAAAAAATCCAAAAACATCAGCTACAAATATGAAGCAACAGATAGAAATCCAGCACATACACCATTAAATCATGCAGTTTTCTTCTGATCACAGAGAAACAACAAGAACGTGAACAGATAGTTTGGTGCTGATAGGCATCGTCTGATTCACTTTATCAGAGCCACAAACACCACTGAAAGAAAACCCTAACGCTGATGGGAACTAATGGACGTTGTGATGATATTTATGATGGTCTTTGTCCGTTCTCTCATTCAGATCATATTAATGAACCCTTTCCTGCGTTCGGCTGCTGATTGTCTTTTGTAACGAGTCTCTTCAAGCACTAAAGTTCATCCAGACTTGATAACGCTGTGATGTATGTTTTCTGTGTGTTTAGGAGTGGGCCGAAGAGCTTTTCAGCTTGGCGTCGAACCTGCTGGCTCAGAACATGTCCAGAGAGTCCTGTCTGGAGAAAGTGTGAGTGTCTCCCGTTCCTCTGAGAAAGAGAGTTTATGATGTCATGAACACACTTTACAACACACACGTTTCTCATTTCACATACACAGAGGTTTTGTAAAACTCCAAAATAAAATGCCTGGACCAGTGAATATGAGGCTTTTCACACTATAATGATGCAGCATGTGTTAGCCGTTGTGTTGGTCATTCTAGCTCACATCTGTTGGTTCTGACACTGAAACGAAAATGAAAATCAGCCTTTCTTCACAGACTCAGCGCTGCTGCGAGTCTAAATGACCTCCAGGCTTCACGTAACGTCTGCTAGCGTGAGCTGGTTGAGTATTAACTCTGCTCAGCCGGTGCGTAGCGATAGCATGACCGCGGCCGTCTGGTCACATGATGAGGGTCCGGGACTCAATCCCATGATGCCGCTCTCCCACACTGGATCGTAAATCAGGACGGCTGTGACTTTGGCCGGGAAAGAGTCCAGCTGCATTAATTATTTGCAAAAAGCCACTTACCGCTGAATAGTTAACGATAGTGTTTTGCACACGGACTGTTTTTAGACACAAGTCTTGTGCTTTTTACATGCTTCAATACCATTGCAAAGCATTCTGGGATGGGAGAGAAGCAGTGTGGGAAATGTAAACTATCTAAACACTCTCTCACACACACACACACACACACACACACACTCTCACACATACTCACACACACACACTCACACACTCTCTCACACACACACCAGCACAGAAATGCACGTGTTCACCAGCGTAACTAACTATAAATCAGTAGTTCAGCTGGTCCGATGCACTCGTTACTGTATATAAGGAAATATTTACAGTAGCTCAATGCAGCAGTATGTCACCATATTATTATTTTTTTAAATGAGGTTTAAATGTTGTATTTAGGGTAAATTTAGCCCTATTGTGTTGTTGAATTATGATGTGTGTGTGTGTGTGTGTGTGTGAGTGTGTGTAAGGGGAGACGTGAAGTGAATAAATAGCATGTGTGAGTACGAGGCTTTATCCTTCAGTACTACTGAGTATCAGCAGCGCAGCCCATTATTATCAGCGACAGGCCAATTCTCTATGAAGTCTGTCTGTTCAGGCTGTGTGTGATCATGATTCGTTCTGTTCTTCACAGGTACACAAGACTGACGTTACAGCTGACGGCCGAGGGTGGCATTCCTGTGAAAAAGTGGGTAAAAACAGCAAATGTTAAGCAGGTTCACCTCAACATGTCTGTACAGATGCTGTCGTATTCTGTCTTCCAGTATCTTCCGTCTGTTCTCAGCCGACAGACGGAGGGTTGAAAACGCTCTGGAGGTCTGCAGCCTGCCGACGGGACGAGTAAGAGAACGCTTCATTCTGCTAAAACCTCACTCTTTTTAGAACAGAAAATAAATTACAAAGACAATAAATATAGAATATAAAAGAATATACAATAAAGTACAAGACAATAAAAAGATAAAAAGGACACACACACACTCTCTCTCTCACACACACTCACTCACACACACA